CCTATAGATATATAAAGACTAGATAAGTCATACCTATAGATATATAAAGACTAGATAATCATCCCTATAGATATATATAAAGACTAGATAAGTCATATCTATAGATATATAAAGACTAGATAAGTAATCCGTAAGGCGGCCATCTTGGCACAGGAAGCAGGCCCACAGTGTGTTTGGTGTATTTATTATTTAAATAAACATAACCTGGTCAAACAGATTATTTAATGTTAAGGTGAGACATGTTGTTATAAAATAACTTATTATAATAGATGTTCTTATAATTAATTTATTTGAGATAAAAGATATAAAATTTTGTCTTCTTCTGATTCCTTTCATTTATTTGTATTTTAATTAAATTGAATTTATGTTTTTAATGAAATTAAGGAACAAACAATTATATAATAATTATGTTATTTTAATAGGTAAAGTAATATTAATATATACACAGAATACATTTAGGTATTTACAAATAAAAATATACATCAAAATTATACACAAGTCTATAAAAAAATAGTACTAAATAGTACTAACAGTGGTATTTAATATGAAAGAATACTGTTTTATATATTTTATATTTGACATGCTAATATTAGCCTTAATTAGCCCTAACTAAACATATATTTTGTGTAAATCACAGCTAGTTTGTGTTGCTGACTGTCCCAAGATGGCCGCCCTGTGAGGACACTGCAGACTGACTCATCTAGCCTTTATATATGTGTTCAACAGCTCCATGTTAGCATCAGATCAGTAAACAGGAAGTGGTCAAACACACTTCCTGTAACGTTCCTCAACATGACCTTTGTTTTCAGACCTGGTTCACCTCACCTGTCMGTCAGTTAACTCCGCCCACCAGGACCTGTCGCCGGTGGTAACCAGGATGTTTCACACAGCAGAGTCTGAAGAGCGTGGTCAGTCACACACACACTCATCTTTGAGTTGTAAGGATGGTTTAGTTTCTGATTGGAGGGTTGAACTTGGCGTTAGGCCACGCCTCTTTCTTCACACAGCTGTGTTTCTGTCTCGTCTGTCCTCAGACGGACGTCCATTCGTCCTCTGGTGCTTGTACTTCAACATGGCCGACGGCTCGGCGCTGGAGGACAGCGGTCACCAGCTGCCCTGTAACGTCTTCATGTGTTCTGGTCCAGATGTTAGTCTGAGCCATGAACGCTCCATCAGACAGGTGAGTCCTCAGAAACCCCTCCTCCAGAGCCCTGCAGCTGTAAGCTCCTCCCCCTTCTCGTCTCCAGGCAGAGGCCATCTTTCAGAAGATCCTTCCTGATGAGGACTTCTGTCCTCCAGCTCCAAACCCTGAGGACATCATCTATGACGGAGACTCCGCCCCCTCTGAGGACGTCATCTATGATGGAGACTCCGCCCCCTCTGAGGACATCATCCATGATGGAGACTCCGCCCCCTCTGAGGACATCATCAATGACAGAGACTCCGCCCCCTCTGAGGACATCATCTATGATGGAGACTCCGCCCCCTCTGAGGACATCATCTATGATGGAGACTCCGCCCCCTCTGAGGACATCATCAATGACGGAGACCCCGCCCCCTCTGAGGACATCATCTATGATGGAGACTCCGCCCCCTCTGTGGACGAGGAGGGAGCAGCGAGCCAGGAGTGACCTTTGACCTTAAGCTTTAATGTTGCCTTTATTTGTTTTTATTTTCTGCATGAATAAAGTTGAAGCTGAACACCAGAGAGTGAGCCAGACTTTATTTGAGCTTTTATTGTGAAAGGTTCCAGCTGTTTACAGACGGCGACCACGACGACCGCCCTTCCTCCTGGTGGAGTCTGACGGGATGGGAGTGACGTCCTCTGAGGACAGAGACGACAGATTAGTGAC